TCACGATACACTTAATGGCCAAATGAGACATGGAATCATATCTTCGACTCATACTCTATCTAAATATGAAAACAAAATGGAAGGTCACGGTTCATTCTAAAGAGCTATAACGGGTTTTGTATAGGCCTGTTTTTGCCCATATATGCTATGTATTAAAAGAGCTCGCGCGCACGGACATTTTTCTCGAATTGACGCTCATCTTGTTATTAATGGTCATAAAGAGATAAACATGGTATCAAATTCCTCGAAAAAAATATGAGAAATATCATGAAAGAAAAAAAAATGGCGATTCTATGTTGTGTAATAGTGTTACGCGCGAAAACGCGCACGCATGTGCGTTTGCGCGATTTTTTATGAAATGCTTAAAATGACCTGAAACGTATGCAAAATAAATTTGAGACGATTTTGAGCATTTTGAAATGTTGCGCGCGCATTGACGCGCGGACGTACGCGTTTTTTGACCTGAAATTGACCGGATGGATATTGACCTTAATCATGATAAATATGAATGAGAAATGGTTTTTGGTTATGAAGATATGATCAAGAGTTTATTTTCAGAAAATTTCAAAAAATGGCGCCTAGATGACGTAATCAGTCAAGGTCAAGGTTGAACAAATTTCTGTGTTTTGTTCTAATGCCTATACATATTTGTGCCAAATTTCAAGGTATTTGATTGAACCAATTTAAAGTTATCTTGCTCACAAAAAAGTGGGTCGAAATAAGAAAAATAAAGAATAAAGAATAATAAAGGCAATTTTAACAAAATTATAAGGTGGTCTGTATTAGATACAGCCCACCTAAAAAACGAAATATAGATAGAAAGAATGAAGATTGAAAAAAAATCAAGAATCAAAGACATAAAGAAAGAATTTAAGAACGAAGAAAGGAAAGAAAGAATTACGGAAGACTTTAAGAAATTACAATGGACATCTAAGAATCAGCTGCTGTGACTGAAAGAAAATTTCTTCCAATCCATAAAGCTTTCCACATCAACAATAGCCATTGACGAAATGTTCGTGTTAAATTAGCAACAAATACCCAAAATACCTTATCCGTTGACGTAATGGGCAAACAATGAATAATCAGCTGCTGTGGTTATTCTTCAATCAATAAAGGTATGATTGAGGAAGAAACACCGAATGTTTCTAGTTATGCTTGGACTAATTGCAATTAGCCCCCCCCCCCCACCCCCTCCCTCATTCCCGATCCGAGAATAATATTTGATGAGTCCATCCAAGGTATTTGAAATCGATTCATGGAAGTAAAAAGAATACAAAAGCAATCTCAGTTTATCCAAACCTATATCCCATACAAAATTCCTTAATGCTTCTGATGAATAGATAAGGGTATATATATTTGTACAAAGGAATATTTTCGCTTGTGGCAAATATTACTTTTTTTAGCGTTGTATTCTATGAAAATTTCGATTTGCTTTTTAATTTCGCATGTTAGCGGTTCCTACCCCCACCCTATTCATAATGTAAGTCTTTAATAGTTTGATGGGGTGGTTATAGATTATTTTTATAATTCTCGTCGTCCTTTTCCATCATGTCTTGGGACAAGAATTGCAGCTGGCTTTCGTATTTTAGTGACAAATCCCTCGTCATGAATCGTTCATACTTTCTTTAAAAATGTTCAGACTGTAAATAACCGTTCAATATAGCCAGATGCATTGCTACTATAAACAGGATAACAAATCCCAAATGTCTTGTATTCCACCTGCCTCTCCTTCTCTATACATTCCTTTCTTTTTTCTTTACATTCAATCCATCCAATGTGTAATCGTAACCTCCTGTAGGAATAATGTTCGTAGCATAGGGGAGTCTGATGTAATCTTTGCATAATTCAATAGGCGACGTTGTTTGTCATTCTATCTACCGGCTTTTGGCGGTCTTTGTGAAATGTTTGCGACCATGACGGCAATAAAAACTCATTCCATCATAGATTTCGATGGGGAAGACTTTTTCATCGGGTTTCCTTTCCCCGTCGAATATGATTATTCCAAAGACTAATTCGATTATTTGAGGGAAACATTATTTCCCCCGCAAAGAGGTCAAACGATTGAATGTCGCACACAGTGAAGAGTGTAAGTCTATACCTTAGTTTGTCTCGCAACCATTGAAGAGCTAAGGCTCATGTCTTGCGACAGCTATGAAGCAGGGGATGGGCACGTTAGCACACATCGGACCTAAGCTGGATTCAGACACCATTGATCTTTGGAACGACAGGCAGACCCTTTACCGACTGAGTCAACACGCCTCAGTCCTCAAGCATCTTTGGAGATTGGGAAGGACTATTTCTACAGAGAGGTTTGTTGTTAAAGATAGGGTAACCTCAACCTTCAGTCTTACCCCTCATTTACGGAAATACGTATGTTAGCGTCGGACCATGCAGGGGTTTGTGGGACCAATCACTTATAAACATTAACTTGCATTTCTATTGTAACAATGTGTTTTATAAAGAGGGTGAGTTCTGGTAAATATGAAAATTCATTTGTGACCTTTCTTAGATCTCTTTTTATGCCATTTTGAAAGAATAATAAAGAATAAGAAATGTTCCAACTGAGACGAGATGCAAACTGACCAAACTGTAATGTTTAATCCCATTATAGACATTTCTATATTTCTAGCACTTTCTATCCCATTTGTGATTCCAAAAACCTCACACCTCACGTCAATTACCATACTACATGTACTATCCTAATTGCTTCTAGACAGGTTCTATTAAAATACTGTATAAACACAATTATCAGCACTCAACTTAATCTTTCAATTCAGGCACAAATACTGATGATGTTTATTCAGTATTATTTTTCATACAATTAGTTTCAATTACTGCACTTTGGTCAAATTGTATACAATCTTGACACTTGATCTATACACAGTCGATATAGAGTTAAATGTTATCAAATATGTACACTATCCCTCCTAAGACGGGCAGGGGTCTGCAATTCTTGTACTAAATTATTTTGTCCAGTGGTTATCCAGGCGGTGAGAATAATTGGGAAGGGGTTGGGCTTTGGGGGTTGGAGTTCTAGCATTCAGTTTCTACATGTGGCTCGCTTAAATTCATTTATAATAAACACAAATTGGGGGCTGAATGTTTTTGGGGGGTTCGAACCCCTGAGACCCCCACCCCCTACTCTCCAGACCCACCCAATTAAAACACTTACATTACTGCAGTTATATCGGAATAGGGCCGGTGAGACGACGGAAAGAAAAGTCTCTGTTTGGACGTTTTGCTCAAAACCGAGTTTGTGTGCATGAGGTAGATCGATAAACCTGTACATTTTCATGAAAGAATAATATCCAAGGATTGAACATTGTTAGCCTATATGTGTCAGGGGTTTGGCAAGTACAAGAAATCGACTGTGGCATTGATACATTTTGGGGATCGCAGTGAAGTACACAGTGAGCCAGTGAGTACGAAATTCTAGAATCTTCGTATGCGGTATACATTTGTATTGTATAAGTTTAACGACCCCTTCTCGGGGTATGAGAGCACAAACAAAGAATCATATTAACGATTATTATGTATACATTTTAAATGTGTACAAAGTAGATAAACTTAGTCTTAGATTTTTAAAAAATATTTTAAAATATCAAATCCCTTCAACAACAAAATATTTATTGAACACATCATTGTCCTCTTTGTTAAAGTACACTGATTTAATTTGACCATGAAAAGATATATGTTTCATTTTTTCAACATGAATTAATTGTACAGTATGCTTGCGGTTGCACCATGTGAGAGGGGGAAGGATTGGGGAGACCTGGAAAGGACTCTCGGTAATCTTTCTTTCTTGATTGTGTGTAGTCCCGCAATCCTACTGTGTATCTACATCACCATGAAAACCGCTACCTACATGTATAAGCAGCATTAATTAATTATTCGTCATGGGTCATCTGCAAGTAAATCGACGAACTGTCTAAGGTTTTTGAGTCGGCTAAGCGTATATAAACTTTTTTTTTTAATGATTTAAAGTGACTCGGTAACATTGTTGAAGGTTGATGAAAAACCTGCGTAAGTTTTGTATAAAATGTTACTTATTATATTCCTTCTATAAATTGCATATGAAATAATCTGAACTTGATTTGTTAGGATATTGAAATTGCCAATAAAGTTAATTTCTTGAAATTGTTTGCGATCATGTTCTAGTGCTTTTGTGTTTCCTTCCTTTATAATCAGAGTTCTATATCAAAACTGCTTTATAAAACACAAGATAATCTTAAATAAACGACAGCTTCCATCTGGAAACTGAGACACCATTTAGAACAATGATTTTCCTTTCATATTTCAACAATGTTCTTTTCTTTTCTGCAGGAAAAGGTGGATTGACACATGTTAGGGCTGCACGCGACGTAATAAACTTCCAGCATTCAACGGCCACTTGGACCAAGATGTCATCATCGTTTAGAAAAGTTCCATTGAAATATTTCTTCATTGCAATTTCGATCATCGTTGTATATATTCTAACCATCATAGTTCATCGCCCTATTAGTAGCTCTACTCATGAGCCAAAGCCTTGGGCCATGAAACGAGTCGACAAAACTACGAAACAAACAAGTTTGGGCCCTTGGAAGAATTATTCAACAAAAGAAACGCTTTCAGACCGTCACATCGGCCCACGGAAGGTTCTTCCCATATTACCAGACACTCGAAATATTAAGGATAAGTCCAAACCTTACTCAAAATCCGTCGACCATGTGAAAAAGGAACAATCTTTTATATTAGGATATTGCTATCGCTACCATTCTCACGGTAAACAACTGTTACCAAGCGCAACTTTGAAAAAGAATCACTGCCAGAAACGACTTCCAAAGGCCGTAATTATTGGTGTAAAAAAATGTGGAACGATGACTCTTCTGCAATATCTGCAACTTCACACCTCGATTACTATCAACGGTGAGACTCAATTTCCTGGAACAATTAATTTCACGGCAAAGGATGTCTCAAAATGGAAGGATCAAATGTATTATTCAAGCCCGCGCACGCTTCCCATGACGGAGACTTCTGGTTATATTCTAGCGCGCGTTGAATCCAAACGACGCTTGAAGGCTTTCCTGGATGACGACTTGAAAATCATCGTCATCATCCGTGACCCTATCACTCGTGCCGTCTCTGACTATGTCCACAAGCTCTCCGTTATCTTCGAGGGTGGCTTGCCACGCAAAGCATCATTTCCCATTACGTACCGCGGTGATGATCTGCGTGAGTCCATCAAGGATACTATCATCGACGTATCAACGGGACGGTTAAGAGATGGACAACAACTTGTGCGCTTTGGTCAGTACATTACCTATCTAAGAGGTCTGATGGAGGTCTACAGTCGTGATCAGTTACTTATTCTAGACGGTGAAGCTTTCATTGAAGACCCTCTCCCAAGTCTACAGCGTGTCGAGACATTCCTTGGGGTTCCCAAGTTCTACAAAAGAGACCACTTCCGGGTGAATCCTCAGACTGGTTTCTATTGCGCGCACGTTCCTGAGCGTCCATTCTATCACTGTGCTAACCCGAAAGTTAAGGGTCGTCCGCATCCTACCCTTGATGATGACTCAGAAGGAAAACTTCGAGATTATTACCGTCCCTTTAATCTGCAGCTAGCAAAGGAATTCGATCTCGACTTTCCTTGGTTGTTTCAGTGAAATCCACCAGAGGCATTTACGAAGCAACAAATATACTGATATATAAATTCAGCATAATTATCACAATCAACATGATCAATGCTGTCATGGGTCATTGTAAGTTGGTGCACACAAGGTTCACCAATTCACATGACCAAAGATCAAAGAGACTCATACGGTCTCATGAAGGCTCCGTCAGATCTTGTAGACGTCGAATCTTGGCCCTTAACGATCACGTGGTATAAACTATTGAACTACAAAGATTTACTGGAAAATTTACTGGAAATACAAAAAAAGAGAAAAAGATTTTAAACACTTCCAACAGATATGCATACATATTGTTAAACTTATATTTTAATATGCCATGTGGTTCCTGTTGATGTTATTTGTAGTTTTTAGGAATATCCAAGAAGTTCTTTTATATTAGTTAAATACATGCAATATGCTGTTATAAAGCTGTTGATAAATAATCAATGTATCGTTCAGAGGCGTTATAAGGATATTACAAGGTATTGTAATATATATATATGTATATATATTAAATGACATTTTGATAGTAAGTATCATCTGGATTTTCGTATTCACTATTCAAGGTTTGAATATTAATTAATTTTCTAATGCACGAACTGGATATAAATGTGATGTATCTGTTTATGTACACCTTCACCATCGCAGGAGTGAGAATTCCCATTATATTTTTAAGAATTTAATCCAAGACATATTTTAATTTTTAAAGTGTTTCTTTTCAAAAGTATTCGTGTAGCCCCTCTTTGGTGCCACATAAGTATTACAAAAAGGGATTAACCCCTTTAAAGTATGGCATGAATAGCTATACATACAGTAGTGATAGAAGAGAGTTTGTTGTAACTTTGTGGCGAAAGCAAATTGTTTATATTAGCAAATAGTTCTTGTGAGTGAGTCTTGCCAGAGGTTCAACCTTTTAACCTATATGGCCTATTGGGCGATAATTTTTGGACTGCTCCGTATTAATTGCTATAGGGGTAGAAAGTTTTTAAGATAAAAAGTGTATTTCATATTTGTATGTTCTATGTTAAAGATACTATGTCCCTTTTACAGCCAACCTCAAATTCTGTAGAAATTTAAACGTTAGCAGAGTCCTAATATTCAAATTATGCAAGGAAAACCTTTTTCTTGCTAGACTTCACTGAAAGACACTATTGTCAGTATTGAGTGACTGACTGGCTTTTTCTTCTTCTTTGGTAATAACATACACAAAATGAGCTGTAAAGGATTTGTACATCAATAACCCACTGTAATGGCCAAAATTAAACTGATTGATTCTTTGCGCAGCATAAAACGAACGACCATGCGGTACAATGGTCTGAAAATCAAGACTATTACTTATTGGCTCTATAGCTCCCTAAGTCCATTTGACAACTAATAATCGTTATTTCCCCTCTTATTTGTTTAAGGGGAGTTCTAAATTAGTATTATCTTTCAAATGCCATTGAAATTTAACCTTTTCATTTTTTTGGCCTGCAAAAGGGACATAGTACCTTTAAGTCTAGTTTTTATTAATTTGCATGACTTTGCTTATGATATTTGTTCAATGTCTAATCTTGCTGTATAAATGACTCAAGGATTAACACCCACAACCAACTATTACTATTCAGACCCCCTTTCCTATGATAATGGTATATCCGATATACCAACATCCAAGATTTTCTTGAGGCATCTTCCTCTTTCACTATTACGAAGATGGAGAGGAAGCATCCTCGAAACATCAGTCTTCAATAACTTCTGTTTTTCCCTGCCCTTTCAGATCAGGCTAAAGGTCGTCGACCCAATGACCCCTTGCCAACCTGAGACCCTCTGTAATTTGTCAAACTTAGTTTTGTTTTAAGCCAATATGTAACCAGGAGTTGCAAATTCTTTGTAAATATATTGTAAATATGTTTTGTATTAACTAGTAATAAAGGAATCAACCTATACATTTCCTGTATATTGCGTAGTTCTCTAGTTTATTTCGAGATAGACTAGATTCTTGTTGATTGAGTATGAATGTGTGTGTGCTGTAATTGTTTGATAACTTGTTTCTGTGGACCGACAGGTGGAGAAATAAACTAGAAATGCAATCGTGTCACAACGATCTGCGTGCAATGACGCCATGTTTCTACGTGTCAAACGAAAGAGCTTCTCTCGGACTATCCAAAGCAATTTGTACGAAGTCTGTAGCTTCTGTGATATTGTAGATAGGTAGGGCGAGAGAAAGGCCTCAACAGTGACCTTGATGGGATTGTAGGGACTACGCCTACGAAGCTTGAAAGAAATTGGGATAGGGGAAAGAACCTAGAAAGTGGTCGCAAGGACTGCGTACAAAAACCAATGGGATTTGGTGCATGTTCGTCATTAAAATAAAGATCGTTCTGGGGGCCAAAAGCGTGAACCCGATATGCCCCATAGACAATGCGTGTAATACATGGGCGGAAAACGTACAGGATCTGTATTATGACCGGAGTTAAATTGTTTTTTTCTCTCTCTCTTTATGTCTCTTTATGGGCCGTATTTGGTATCATTAGAAAGAGAATTTCATGATTGTTCTTGTAAACCACTCTTCTTTTTTCTATAATAATCCTATCGAAACATGTGATGTAAAATATATTTAAAGGACAAAATGGCGTCTTAAATGGCCCTTAAAACAAATTTATAAAATCCGGCCACGAGGTGCCCTGCGTATTGCAACTCGGAATGTCACTGTACATTTTCAAGGAAAAAAAAAGGATGTTTAGGGGGCGAAAAGTAGTCTGAAAAAATGACGTCATGGCCGATAAGTGTTATAATCGGGCGGAAACTCGGCGGAATTCGTATAGTGACCCTTGTTCAAATGCGATTTACTCAAAAAAAATTTGTGTGGACACATACCATACCATACTCATTCGAAAGGGCACTTCATTGCGGTCAGTTTGAAACAATTGTCATCTGCGCAAAACGTACTGCACGCATCAAACGCGCTATTACGTAATGCATAGTAAATTCATCATTTTGGGCGATAACTTTCTGAAAAGGGCATTAAAATTTACTTAACTTGGCAGACAGTTGTCACGTATACATGTATACATGGATACATGTGTCTGCCAAGTTTGTATTGATGTAGGTATTAAGATCTCCATTTTAGAGCAAGTTGAAGTTATTTCTCAATTTTCTTGAAAATGGCGAATTTGGAGGGCATTTTTCTTAAAGTCGGTCAGTGTTAGGGTATATGATTTTGTGTCTGGCTGGAAAGGGCATATCTTCAAGTATCTAAATCAAAAAAAGGGTACGGATTTGCCAAGCCATAATGGAGATACGGCCACAGAAAGAAAGCCAATTCCCAGAACTTTAGAGGGCGCTATTTATGTTTTGCAAAGCATTTGGAGCATGAAATTCGGCATGGCTATTTGCAATTATAGGATAAAGATACTGTAAGATTTAAATACAAAACGGAATTCATATGAGAAAGTTATGGCAGTTTTAGATTATTTAGGGGTCAATTTTTCAAGAACTTGAGAGATTTTTGACGGAGTCGGATTCAGATTTGAATTTTGAGTACGAAGATGGCATTTTGAAGGTCAGGTTATTCGTCGCAGATAAAAGAACATCTCTTAGACTATCTAGAGGAATTTGTTAGAAGTTTGTAGGATCTAGGATAGTGGAGATAGGAAGGAAGAAAGAAAGGCCTTAAAATGGACCAGAAACGGACAAAATGGCGCCTGGACGGTTATGCATGAGTGATTTCGAGAATCGAAGAATGTAGTGACCTTGATGAGATGTTAGAGATGATGCCTATGAAATTTGAAAGGAAAAGGACATGAGGAAAGCACCTTACTAGGAATAACAAGCACTATGAATTTATTTAACCTGAATTGTCAATTTAATTTAATCTGAATTATGAATTGTACGCGATCGGGATTTGAATTGAATTATTTCCTGAAATATGAATTGAATCTGTCTGAATCATGAACTGTATTGAATTTGAATTGTGAACTTAACTTAACCCGAATTATGAATTTAATTTTATTACTTAGTTTGAATTATAAACTGAATGTGATTTGATTTTGTTAATTATATTTTAATTTGAATTACGAACTGAATGTGATCGGGATTTGAAATGGATTTGATCTGAATTACGAATTGAATTGGTTTAAATTTTTAATTGTATTTAATCTGAATTGCGAATGAATTTAATCCGAACTTGAACTGAATTTAACTACTTAATTTATGAATCGAATTTTAGTCCGCATGTTGAACTATCGCATTTGTTGTTACCTATGTCCAAGTTAAATGTTCTACTCTGTACCCATATGTATCTTCTTGATGTTTATAATGTGTAACCTTGTACCGACATGCAAATGAAACAAATTTCCAATCATTGGACAATAAATTTGAATATGAATATGAATATGAATATGAATACGTGCAAAACGAATGCGATTTCCGGACGATAAGGATAAGGAAAGGAGAATATTAATGGGGCAGAATGTGAACGAAAACAAGGCAATGACGAAGGTCGTCATTGCAAATACCAAATTCCGCTGCGCTAGATAAATTTCTTGAAATGCTAGAGCGCCGTATGGCAGCCGTGCTAAAGCCAGGGTAATAATCGGGAGCGCCAGGAGGGTCAAATATGACTGACATGAGCGCTACCCAATAAACAAAATCACGTGAAAATCACGTCAATATCAAGGTATCGACTGGAGGAAAGTTACGTTCTTCAAACACCTGACATTTACGTAAATGTGTTAATACGTTTAATTACATCTTCACAAACGAAATTATCGTGTCACAGAAACACGTGAAGCGTTAGTCATAGTTTTAGTCAAAATATCTGCGTGAAATTCATGTGAATATTACGAGGCTGACTTGAGATGAATCATGTTCTTCATTCACGTGAAATTTACGTCGAAGAGGAAATATGTTACTGTAACCCGCATTTAACCCAATAATTACGCAAATGTTCCACAATAAATGAATCAAAATAATGACGTTCTCACCCCGTTTCTGAACATCGTGTTTCGGATCTT